AGAAAGAGCGCGGACATGGAAATATCCAGCAGCCGCAGGCAAGAGAAGGGAGAGAGAGATGAAAGAAGGCAGAAGGGGGCACTTGATAAAGATACTAAGCAGAAGAAAGCAAAACAAGAACTTCTATTAAGAGCAGGAAAAGAACCACTTGTAAACATAAAGTGATACATACATCCGGCGTATTAACAAACATGCGCCCTCCCCTTTGTGAGTTAAAAAGGCGAAGAAATCTGACTGCGAAACATAAAAACAAGACGATGACGGGAATGTATTCTACAGAGGGCAAGAACAACCTGTTACCCTTTACTCGAGAAAAATCTTCAAAGGGAGCGCGATGAGAAGAGGAAAAAGAGTTATAGTGGCCGTGATTGGTACGAATACCGAGAACAACAATAGAAACAGACATGTAACCACACAAACTACTACACATTTTACCAACCACAATTACTACTTAACGCCAGTGCAACACTGCAACACCACTCCCCACATCGGCAAACAATACACACACACCACACACACACAACGATTAATCACATCTCATGACGAATTCTATCAGACACAACAAACGCGACAACGCCCGCACAACACACTAAACACCAACAGACCTAAACACCACACCGCCACTACAACAGCACTATATATCTATTAATACTTTGGAGTATATTATACTAGATATTATATATATATATATATATTATTATATTCACTATCAGTACAGAGCATATATGAGACTTTATAATATTTATATATATAATATAAATGTAATTATATAATGTATTAATAGTATCAATCTAGAGAATATGAGAGGCTATACCATAACGTATAACTATAATATATATAGTATATGATAACAAAACAAAGAAAATACCCAAAAATAATCTTTGCTCCTTATGCAAAGAATAAATAGTCTACACAAGAACAGACAGAAAATCAATGGAATAAGCTACGTTACAAATTGAAATGAAAAAAAAAACGTAAGACCTCTCCCATTGACTCTATATCCAGTCTTGCACAGATCATGCATATCCTTGTGATCATATTAGGTTACGAGGTCAATGTGGAAACTTATTACATGAGTGCCATATGTTGCCTAACCGTAGTGATTTGTTGTGAAAAGTTTCGGAGGAAGATCAATGCGACAACTTTCCTCAATGAAGTTACAAGCAGAGACCCCTGATGATCATCCTGTGAAGGAGCGATCTCCAATTTAGATGTTATGATTGTAATACATAGAGAAGAGCATCGAGAGAAGAGGATCCGAATCCCTGACGTCAAGAACCAGACAGATAGATAGAGCGAGAGAGCAGAGAGAGAGAGAGAGATTCGGAAGAGAGAGTATATAATGTGAGGAGCAGATTCGACGAGAGAAAGTGATTATAATAGTTGACTGTGTGTGGTGGTCTGTGATGTGTGTCTGGATAATATATATTCGCTGTGTGTGTGTTTTACACCGGCGACCTCATCAAACTACACACAACTGAAAACTAAACCCTGGTGTGAAGAGAGAGAGAGAGAGAGAGAGATGAGAGAGGAGATGATATTGAGAAGAGAGAGAGAGAGATAGAAGAGATGGAGCAGACAAGACATGACCAGAGTGAAGAGTGAGAGTGTTGTGATGAGTGCTGTGTGTGGTGTGGTAGTGTGACGAAGAACGAGAGAGAGAGAGGAGAGAAGAGAGAGAGAGAGAGAGAGAGAGAGAGAGAGAGAGAGAAGAGAGAGAGAGAGAGAGAGAGAGAGAGAGAGAGAGATCAGATGAGAGGAGACAGACAGAGATAGATAAAAAAAGTAACAGACAGAGACAGATAGATAGATATGACAGATAGAGAGAGAGAGAGGAAGAGACAGACAGACAGACAGACAGATATCTATATATAGATATATATATATATATATATATATATATATTAATATAGTATATATATATATATATATATATATATATATATATATATATATATATATATATATATGCTATACATACATACAAAAACATACAGAAAAAAAACAAAAAAGAAGGAATGAAATAATTGACAAACATATAGACAGAAAGACAAATAACCTATAAGAGGGAGAGGAACACAGCCAACTAAATAGCCAACGAGACGCAACAACAAACCAAAAAATAAGCTAAGAGAAACCTAAAAATCTTTGAAATCACTTTAGACAAACAACTTTCTTTTGAACGCGATCCCTGTGACAGAAACGATTTGGTCTGATGTTCCCTCCGTGAAAGCGAGGGCGAAAGGAGTGCTCGCTTACTTTGATTAAGAGAAATAAAACGAAATCTGATTAAGAAAATCTTTTTAGTCGGAGGGACTTTTGTGGTTTTTTCTCTCTCTTCTGTCTGTTTGTTTGTTTTGTTCTGTTACTGTCGGTCTGTCTGTCTCTCGTTTTTTTTTTTTTTTCTTTCTTTCTTTCTCTCTCTCTCTTTCTTCTCGCTCTTGCTCTCGCTCTCTCTCCTCTCTCTCTCTCTCGCTCTCCTCCCTCTTCCCTCCCTCCTCCTCCTCCTCCCTCCCTCCCTCCTCCCTCCCTCCCTTCCCTCCTTCCCTCCCTCCTCTCCCTTCCCTCCTCCCTTCCTCCCCCCTCCCTCTCTCTCTCTCTCTCTCTCTCTCTCTCTCTCTCTCTTCCTTTTTATGACCGATGCGAAAAGGAGTTAAAAAGGGGAATATGAACCAATTACGCGAGAGTGTAAAAGCAGCGAGAACATTTGCTAGTCGGCGCTTTTTTTCATTGTAAAGGACATAAAAAGGATGAATGAGAAAAAAATAGAAGGATGGAAAAAAGTAAAAGAGACGGGAAAGGCAGAAATGGCACCGTAGGTAAAATAGTTGATTTCATTTTGATTTTTTTTATCTTTTCAAAATGAGGCTAACGTTTTTTTTGTTTTGATTTTTACATGGAAGAGGAAGACATCATATATATTTCCAGTCTCTTATTATCCCATTTACTACTTTATTCACTGTTTTCTTATGTTTATTTGTACGAGTTCTTTCAGTGTCCACCGTGTCTCTATACTCCTCCCATCCCCCCCCCCCTCCACTCCCCTATTTCCCTCTCCTCCCTTTCTTTCCCTTCCCATCAACGTAGCATGGAAGTAAGGGAAAGGGAGGGAATGAAGAAGGAGTGGAGGGGGGACGGCAGAGGGGAAAGGGAGGGGGGAAAGGGAGGGGTGGGGTAATATAGGGTGAGAGGGGGGAGGGGGTAATAAGGGAGGGGAGGTATAAAAGGGGGGGATAAAGTAGGGGGGGGGAGGAGGGAGTGGGTAAGGGAAAGGGGGGAGGGGAGGGGGGAGAGGGAGATTCAGGAGCAGACGAGTTGGATCGCTCTTAAAGTTGGCGCCTGAGATCATATTTTGGCGGGATCAAAAGTTCGCGACAGACCGAGTTTTATTCGGCGAAAATCAAAGACATATTTTTTCTGTCTGTCTCTCTCACTCACCATCTTTCGCTTCTTCTTTTCTTCTTCCTTTCTGTCTTCTTTTCTCTCTCTCTTTCTCCTCGGACGATAAGCACTGGAGGTAAATGACAAGGGAAGGGCCAGAGAGAGGAGGGAAGGGGGAGGGATAGGGATGGAGAGGAGGAGAGAGGAGATAGAAAAAAGGGGGGTGAGGTAAAGACAGTCATACCCCCTTCCCCTCTCTCCCCCCATACTCATTCCTCCGTCTCCCCCATACTCTAAAGACCCCCCCTTAAACTATCTCCTCAACCCCCCCACCCCCACCCCACCCCAACAACTCCCTCCCTACCCTCCACCCCCACCCCCCATCAATGGCATTTCCCCCTCCCTCCCCCTCCCCCCTCCCCCCATACCCCCTCCTCCGTCTCCCCCATACTCTAAAGACCCCCCTAAACTATCTCCTCAACCCCCACCCCCCACCCCTCCCCCATCAATGGCATTCCCCCTCCCTCCCCCCCTACCCCACCCCAACAACTCCCTCCCTACCCTCCACCCCCACCCCCCATCAATGGCATTTCCCCCACCTCTCCCCCTCCCCCCTCCCTCCCCACCCTCCTTCCCCCGTAAAACCTGGCCAACTTCTGCACAAATCTGCTATTTACATCTTAGATCACCTGAGACCTCGGCGTTTAGCATCGCTCCTTGTTTTTTCTCGACAATTTTCTTTACTCCTTTTTTTCCTTTCTTTTTTTTCTTTAGCTATATATTTTTTTTCTCTTGATATTTTTTTTTGCCATTTTTTTTTTCTTTCCTCGGGTGATTTTCTTTTTTTTTCTTATTCTCTTTCTTCTTTATATCGTTTTTTTTTCTCGTGTCTTTATACTTCTTATTTTATTTCTCATAATGAATTCTTTTTATTATTATTATTTTTATGTGACGATTTTTCTTTCTTATTTCTCTGCTCTTTCGTTTTTGTGCATTTGACCTTATTTTTTTTCTTAGAGAGTGAATTCAGGGATAGTCTGATTTGGAAGTTAAAGAAAAGTGAGGGAATGAGGGAGGGAGGGAG